AAAAACGGAAAACAAGTAAAGCCGCACGGCTATACACTTTCTTGAAAAAATTCAAACAGAATCTAGCATAGCCGGGCGGCTATACTATTTAGCCCAGCGCCTACGCGCCAAGTGTCAAACAAGGACAACCGTACGGCTATACTATTTTTGTTTTAAAATTTTTAAAAAGGAGTATAGCCGCCCGGCTATACGATTTTAAAAGACAATTAGAAAAACTGAGTATAGCCGTTCGGCTATACCATTTTAATAAAAATATATATTATTTTTATTCAATAGTATGTGAGAATTATGTGTATAATACATAAATTTTGGGTGTCTTATTGAATTTTTTTTTTGCAAAAAATAAGTGTATTAAACATGAGAAATACGTGCGTATGTTGTATTATTAAACGTGAATGTGCTAGAATCTTTATACGGGTAATAATTCTGAAAAAGTAAAAAATGAAAAGGGGACAATAGATACTTAAGTAATGACCTAATAGTAATAGATAGGACTTTTGGGATATGAAGAAATTTAATTAGAACACCCAAACGATTACACAAAAGACTTAGTAAATTGAAATAAATTATTTTCAATGGAATTTTTTTATAGTAGACAAACAATATCATGGGAGCGGATAACTTAACCTAGTATCTTGAATACAATACATGGATGAATATCCTTAATCATTTGAGTTACAAGCCTTTTACTCAACTGAATGAATTTTAACTTAACAATACTTTAGTAGAGACGTGAACTCATATAGTTCGCACCAACTACACATCCGTATTGTAGAAAAATCAGTAAATTATATATTGTTAAACACTCGTACATTTGTTATTTGTTGACACACAAGTTTGTAGTACTAATTAAGCAATCTGTTGAAAGTTAAAGAGAGAAAAACAATGCTAACTGCTATTTAATGGGGCCAACAACTAGTATTTAATTCATTAGCAGAATATTTAATTATTGTTCCGGAGCACAGTAATCACAAGAGCCATACATTGTGTTGTGGTTGTGGATTGTGGATACAAACATTCTGCCCCGACCTGAGCAACGCAAGGCCGTTGACCACCTCTATTAATTTCAAGGTTATAGAAATGGTAATATAGTTTTACATGGTAGGTTAACGTTAAGAATGTTGTGGGCCCCACGTGTTCTCCTTTGGCCATTGGTGCGTTTCCAAAACGCTCCACCAAAAAGAAGGTGGGAATTTGACTGTTTTTTGCTTTTACCAACTCAGTTCATATCTTGCTCCTTTGTACACTGAAGTAGTCTGCAACTGCATCAATCTCTCTCTCTCTCTGTGGAATAACTCTGCTGCACGCTCGTCTGATTCCTACAGTGATTTTGAGCTTTTTCTTGAGCCTCCCCATTTGTCCCATTATTCCATCTCTCTCTATCTCTCTGAATCTCCATTGTCCCTGTTACCATCTCCTTCCTTTTTGGCTCTTCATTGTCCTTTTGTCTCTCGCTCTCTCGGGTTGTCTTCAAATTTCTTAACCTGTTTTCTTATTCTTCAACAGAGAAGCAGAGCCAGGACTATGAGTACCAACAACAACGGCAACCACAGCAAAGAAAAGCTTGTGGTTGAGGTGGTTGCAGCGCACAATCTCATGCCCAAAAACGGTGAAGGTTCCTCTTCACCATTTGTAGAAGTAGAGTTTGAGAACCAAAGGCTCAGAACCCAAGTAAAATACAAAGACCTCAACCCCATTTGGAACGAAAAGCTTGTGTTCCATATCAAAGACGTGGCTGATCTTCCTTACAGAACCATAGAAGCCAATGTCTTCAACGAGAGGAGGTCCAGCAATAGTAGAAATTTCCTGGGAAAAGTTCGAGTTTCGGGCTCTAACATTGCAAAAGAAGGTGAAGAGGTTCCTCAGCTTTATACCCTTGACAAAAGGAGCCTTTTTTCTCACATCAGAGGGGAAATAAGCTTCAAGCTTTACCTTTCAACAAGGGAAAAGGTCAAGGAAGTTGGGGCTAATGGAACAGTCTCCTCCTCTATTTCTGCTCCTTCTGCTTCGGCTTCTGGGTTTTCGAAGAAAAGCAAGAAACTTCAGGGACCAAACTCAGCCATGGCGGCAAATCAGCAGCTGGTGCAAGAAACAAAGCAAACCCAACAGAACCAGAACAACAACCACCACTCAAAGAATGTGGATCAGCCAAGTCCAGGTGAGGTGATACTGATGAACAAGCCTGTTTTGATTAATACAGGGCCTGGTTCTGTTATGTCCGGCTCCGGAGGCGGTGGGGTGGGTGGGTACTCAAATGGGTTGACCGAGTTTTCACTCAAAGAGACTCGGCCTCAACTCGGAGGTGAGTCTTTGAAAAAGGACAAAACTAGCTCTACCTATGACCTTGTTGAGCAAATGCAGTACCTTTATGTGAGAGTTTTGAAAGCCAAAGAAATCTCTTTGTTTGGTGGTGGGGATTTGGTGGCTGAAGTAAAGTTAGGGAACTACAGAGGAATTACAAAGAGGGTTGGTTTGAACAATGTTGAGTGGGGTCAAGTTTTTGCTTTTTCAAAAGATTGCATACAGTCATCAATGGTGGAGATTTTTGTGAAAGAGGGCAGCAAAGATGACTTCTTAGGCCGTGTTTGGTTTGATTTGAATGAGGTTCCCAGGAGGGCCCCGCCGGATAGTCAGTTGGCTCCACAATGGTATAGAATGGAGGATAAGAAGGGTGATAAGTCGAAAACAGGGGAGGTGATGCTTTCAATTTGGTTTGGAACTCAGGCTGATGAGGCATTTGCTGAAGCTTGGCATTCGAAGTCTGCCAATGTGAATTTTGATGGGCATTGTTCGATTAAGTCGAAGGTTTATTTGTCCCCGAGGCTGTGGTATTTGAGAGTTTCCATCATTGAAGCTCAAGACATTGTTCCTGGTGGGAAAGGGCCTGCAATGATGTGGTTTCCTGAGCTTTCCGTGAAAGTTCAGGTGGGAAACCAGGTTTTGAGGACTAGAATTGCACAGCCAAGCAGCTTGAGGAGCCTCTCCAACCCTTATTGGAATGATGAGATGATGTTTGTGGTGGCTGAGCCAATAGACGACTTCTTGTTGGTTTCTGTTGAAGACAAGGTCGGGCCAGGGCGTGATGAGGTGGTGGGGAGAGTGCTTCTTCCGATGACAGCAATCGAAAAGCGCACAGATGAAAAGCCAGTGGCTTCAAGATGGTTTAATCTTGACAACAACCATTTCAACAATGCAGCAGAAGAGTCCAAAATGATGACAAGGTTTGGGTCTAGAATTCATCTTCGGGTTTCACTTGATGGTGGTTATCATGTGCTAGATGAGGCCACAATGTATAGCAGTGATCTTAAGCCAACTGACAAGCGGCTTTGGAAGCCTCACATTGGTGTGCTTGAAATGGGGATTTTGGGTGCAACAGGGCTTATGCCAATGAAAATCAAAGAAGGGAAAAAAGGGTCTAGTGATGCCTATTGTGTTGCAAAGTATGGTCACAAATGGATTCGAACTCGAACTGTTGTCGATAGCTTGTCCCCAAAATGGAACGAGCAGTACACTTGGGAGGTGTATGATCCCTGCACAGTTGTCACAATTGGAGTGTTTGATAATTCCTGCATAAACAAGAAGTTGGCAAACAATCCAGGAGCTCGCGATTCACAAATTGGGAAAGTTAGGATTCGATTGTCCACACTTGAATCTGATCGGGTTTATACTCACTCGTATCCCCTCCTCATGCTGCACACTTCAGGGGTAAAGAAAATGGGTGAGCTTCATTTAGCTATTCGGTTTACATGTGCAAATATGGCTAACATGATGCATATGTACACAATGCCACTGTTACCAAAGATGCATTTTGTGAACCCTTTGAGTGTGAATCAATTGGAGACCCTGAGGTACCAAGCAATGAATGTGGTGGCCTCTAGGCTTAGCCGGGCAGAGCCGCAATTGGGCAGAGAGGTCGTGGAGTATATGCTTGATCATGACTCCCATATGTGGAGCATGAGAAGGAGCAAAGCCAACTTCTTTCGACTAATGAATGTTCTCTCAGGACTTGTTGCTATGGGAAGATTTGTGGAATTGATGCGCAGTTGGAACAAGCCAGTCTACTCAGCTCTATTTGTTGCATTTTTCCTCTTTCTCGTTGCATTTCCAGAGCTCATAATCCCAATGATTTTGCTTTACACTGCCTTCTTGGGACTTTGGCGATATAAGTCTAGACCACGCCAACCTCCCCACATGGACACCCAGCTTTCCCATGCTGAGAGCGTCTATGCCGATGAATTGGATGAGGAATTCGATTCGTTCCCAACAAGTCGGAGTGCTGAGGTTGTTCGAATGAGGTATGACCGGCTTAGGAGCTTGGGGGGAAGGATTCAAACTGTTGTTCGTGACATGGCTACACAAGGTGAACGCTTCCAAGCATTGCTGAGCTGGAGAGACCCGAGGGCCACATTCTTGTTCTCCATCTTTTGCTTGATTGCTGCTGTTGTGTTCTATGCAGTGCCAATCAGAATTGTGGTGGTTTTGTTGGGCTTGTATGTTCTGAGGCCGCCGAGGTTCAGAAGCAAGTTGCCTTGCCAACCTTTGAGTTTCTTTAGGAGGTTGCCCACCAGGGCTGATAGCTTGTTGTAGAGGGTTGAGTTCATTGCATCATTATCATCATTTTTAGGACTTTTGGATATGTGTTTGATAAGTAGGATGGATGTTATCTTTTCCTTTTTGGTCCTATGCGTAAGGAGGCGTTAGCTAACTGTTCTGTTGAAGATGCAATTCGTGTATTATGGAAGTTCAATCTGACTTGTAGCTATTATCCTTGCTTATATTTATGTGTCCAGGTAGAATTACACTAATCCAATGATTTGTTTGGTGCTACATTTGATTGTGAATCGTATCTCGTCATATAATTCGAACCACCAAAAATGCCAAATGTGTGCCTGCTCAACAAAATGTTTGAATTGAAAGAATAAGAAGACACATAAATGAAAGCAAATGATAAACCAATTCAGTTCCAATACAACAACACAATGTCGTTGCTTCGGTTCTTTCTAGTATGAAATAGCATTGGGTTGGCAATACAAGACAAAGCTCCCCACAAAAGAATCCACAAAGTTCAAGCAACAGCAGCTCCCATCTATTAGAAAATCACTAACTTGTTCAGACTCAGGGTCCAGCAATCGAACACCATCACCAACATCACGAAGCACCACTTCACCATTCTTTCTGAAACCAAGCACGCTGCTATTTTTAAGACTAAGTGGCGCCAACACAAAAACATTTTGCAGCTGCACAGTAAATAACTTAGCCCAAGACGCCGCCACACCATACTCTTTCAACACCCAGATCTGATCACAATCACCCCTGGAAATCTGTAGTTACGAATCTTGACAAGGGCAATGGTCTCTCTGCATCGTGAAATAAACCACTCTCGTCCCGATTGAAAGTGTAATTTTTTCCTCAAAGCTTCTGGCACCATTGTCTCACCAAATATCTCCTTTGCCATATCAAACCACGCAACCAAATACTCTGAGAGCTCCGAGACGCCGTTCAGGTGGCGATGAGTTTGGAGCCAATGCAGAGCTCCATTGACACACACAACACGTGATCTAGTGAAGAGCTCGGGATAAAAGTTGGCAGGGATAATATCATCATCTTCAGCAGCAATAAGACTTCCAGGAGCCTGTGGCTAACGACCAAATCTCAACGTGAAAAGTAGGTGGTTTGCGGAAGGACACATAGTTCCCAAATTTCAAAGTCTTATCGTCGTTGTGTAAGTACTTACAGTTCACACATCTCAAAACCTTATAGTCGTTGGTGCAAGAATCATAACCAAAGGCATATCTTATTCCTCGAATATTTTTGGCCACGGCAAGGCCCGGCTTAGGTAAAACCACCAACTTTCTAATATAGGGGTTCCAAATGATTGCAGCAAAGTCAATGCCACCATCATCATCATCATGACGAACCATGCATACGAGCCCGTTACAAGTTCCAACCACATCCACATCCCCATCTAAAACTTTTTTTTCCTCTGGGCAAGTGCGGGTGTTGTTGTAAGCTACGAACGGGCTCATAAGCTTGGTATGCTCATCACATGCAGAGTCATCTCGATGCAACACGTAATGCACTCTTCTTTTGACGTGGATCTTGTAGGGTTCGTAAACCTGCAGGAAAAGGAGCTGAACGTCGTTGTCGTCGTCGTGGTGATTGGATGGGAAGCGAGTGTGGGGGTGGCGAATGAAGGAGTTGACGAGAGAGTTCCATGATTTGCACACTGCGCTGCATCTCGCTACGGATTTGCTGGTCGATCTCAGCAGGGTTTCATGTAAGATTTCGTGGGGAAAGAGGAGGATGTTGCTAGCCAAGTAGACATCTGACATTTTTGTGATAATATTTGCTCGCTGGTGTTTTTGGGAGAAGCAGATCTTTCGACCCCTTTAAAATCCCAGTCTCCTGTTTTAGTCCTAATTAATCAAACTAGATCACCAAAAGACTAGGGAAAATAGTGGAGAGAGATAGAGAAAAGAACGATCTCTAGGGGTTAAATTGCCTTTAATTACTAATTAGTTCCAGCCTGTGGATAAGGTTCACATCCATTTTAATTCATTTACTTACCATATAAAAAATAAAAATATTATTATTATTATTATTTTAACATTCATTATATTAGTTCTTTGTTTTTTGGTCTAAAACTTTCATTATATTAGTTCATACGTGCAATTTGGGTGAAAAAAGATAAGTACAAAATTGTAACAGAAAATTCAACCATCTTCATCACCATCCATACAAATAATAAAAATTGCATATAAAACAAGGGGTTTAATTATTTTGTATTCACTTATTGGGTTAATATTTAGGAATCCATACAAAATAAGGAGGAATGTCTTATTCAGCCTCTAACTAATTAGTATCGTACAGGGATTCAATCATATCCGAATGAGGGGAAAAAATCAGTTGAATGGATTAAGGGCTCGTTTGGGGAGTGATTTTGAAGAGGCCAATACTCACTTTTATGGAGAATCACTTCTCCAATATCACTTTAAGTGATTTTTTGGAGAAGCACGTTAGAGATGCTTCTTCCTATAAGTGATTCTAGATCACTCCCAAATGAGCCCGAAATCATGGTGGAGACTTGTATGAGTTTTGATCAAGGAAAATTGCATGAGTTTGGTGCTGAGGAAAGAAATACAAATACAAATACAAAAGTAATCAAATGAATCAAAACCAGCAAAATAAGGATGATAAATCAAAGAAAACCTCACAAAGCTAAACAAAGACGAATAGGAAAGGCAATCCAGTGAGCTAGGAAGTTCTCATTTAGGCATTAGCCAATTATCATCTATTCTTTTTGTTTTTTTTTATTTTATAAAAAAAAAGATGATAATTCACATTTATTTAATGACTAATGCCTACATAGATAGAAGCATGAGAAGGAGCAATGCCAACCTGTTTCGGCTAATGACTTGTTGCTATTTGTGTTTGGCATACAAGGTGGATGTTGTCTTGATTCGGTTTCTGTCTTTCCTTCTAGTATGAAATAGCATTGGGTTGGTCAAATAAGACAAGGCTCTCCACAAAATAATCCATGAACTTCAAGTGATTGTTGCTCTCATCAATTTCAAATTCACTAACTTGTTCGGACTCAGGGTCTAGCAACATAGATCGACCATTACCTCCCACAAGCACCACTTCACCACTCGTTCTAAAACCAATCGGACCGCAGTCTTTATATATGAGCGGCATCAACCAAACATCTTGCAGCTGCACAGTACATAGGTTAACCCAAGATGCCGCCACACCATACTCCGCCATCACCCAGATCTCAACACGACAACCAATCCAACGATCTCTGCCTTTACAAATCTTAACAAGGGCAATGGACTCTCTGTATCTTGAAATAAACCACTCTCGTCGTCCCGGTTTTGAGTATAATTTTTTCTGTAAAGCTTCTGGCACCGTTGTCTCACCAAATAACTCACTCGCCATATCAAACGATGCAACCAAATAATCCATCTTATTCACCTTCCAGTTTCTGGCAAGTTGGAGCCAATGCAGAGCGCCATTGACAAATACAACACCCGATCTATTGAAGAGCTGGCCAGGATGAAAGTTGGCAGGGAGGATAACATGATCAGCAGCAGAACTAAGACTCTTCCAGGAGCCTCTGGCTAACGACCAAATCTCAACTTGACAAGTGCTGTGGCGGATATATTTATGGTTCACACATCTCAAAACCTTATAGTCGTCGGTGCAAGAATCATAACCAAAGCCATATCTTACTTGATCAATAGCTTTGTACACGGCAAGGCCAGGCTTGGGTAAAGCCACCAACTTTCTAATACAAGGGTTCCAAAGTGATGCAGCAAAGTGAATCTCATCATCACCAGCAACCAGGCATACTAGCCCGTTACAAGTTCCAACCACAGTCACATCTTCAACTTGTTTTGCTCCTCGAAGGCAAGTAGGTAACTTGTTGCAAGCTACGAACGGGTTAGGAAGCTTGGTATACAAGTTACATGCAGAGTTATCTCGATGCAACGCGTAAGGCCCTCTGTTGATGATTCTCAAGGAATTGTGAAACTGAAGGAAGAGGAGTTGAGCTTCGTCGTGGTGGTTATTGGATTGGTAGCGAGTGTGGTCGCGAGTGTGGTAGCAAATGAAGGTGTTGACGAGAGAGTTCCATGATTTGCACACTGCGCTGCATCTTCCTACGCTTTTGCTGGGCAGCCTCAGGAGGATTTCATCAAAGATCTCTTCGGGAAGGCGGAGGGGGTTTGACAATGTTCTTTTCTTGCTACTCGAGTAGACATCTGACATTGCTCCGATAGATTTTGTGATAATATTTAAGGATTCCTGATGATTTCGGGAGAACCAGAACCCCTATTCCTGTAGAAAGATAGAGGAGAGAATTGGAGAAGATGAGGAATAATTTGGAGAATAACAACCCTATAGGTTGCTTCTGCACTGCACTGATGGTTTATAATTACGCAAGTTTACTTTGTACAAGTCTAATTACGGTAAACACTTACCTTGATCAGACATGACGTGCACAGGTTGTCTTCTCTGCTATCCGGCTCTTTATCTCTCTAGATGGTGTGAGAATAATATTGAGTGTGTAATAATCAATAGCACAGGACATCCTTTTATAGGCTTCACTTAAGAGTCCTCCTCATCAAAGATATCTTAAGCTTTCCTTAAGCCAGTAGAATTAGGTGTTTCAATCCGCATAGAAATAGGAAACCTGAAGCACTCTGTATTTAAGCTTTCCTTAACGATTCCTGACAATTTCTCCAGAAACCCTATTATTGTAGAAAGATAGAGGAGAGAATAGGAGAGATGAGGAATTTGGAGAATAACAACCCTATAGGTTGCTTCTGAACTGCACTAATGGTTTATCATTACGCAATTTTACTTTGTATAAGTAGTAAGTAAATATTCCTTTTCCTATACTATCAAGGATTAAATATTCCTTTTCCTATACTATCAAGGATTAAATAGAGGAATAAAAGCGTAGAGGGCCGCAAAAGCTACAAGCCCAAAAAACTCACGGCAGCATAAGAATAAGAAAGATGCGCCCTTTCATATATTTGGGTGAAAAAAGATGAGTACAAAATTTAACTGAGAATTGCTTGTTGAGACATTAATTTACCGCATATGTACTGCTATCAACATTCTTTTGCATATAAGAGTTGTCATCGCATGTTCAATTTCAATATGCACATGCTTCAAACATACTTTTGGTTGACTTTTCTTTGATAACATTTTTCTGTATAGGAATATTTGAAATTCTTCTACATGAGACATTGAGAAAATCAGCAAAAGAGGCCCTATAGGTTTGGCAATAACTAAACTACATGGGGAGGAATATTTTTTGGAGAGGGATAATATTGAGTTGACAACAAAAGCCCACTTCACCAACCACTACTACCGCCGCCGCCGCTGCGCTCTCAAGCCATATTGAGACTCTACTTATTTCGGGCTCAGAACCCCATTCCCAAACCCCATTATCTGAACCTTCTTCTTTTTGGGTCAGAAGCCCAGCCTGAAGTGCCATTATCATCATTAGCAGCAGCAGCATATGCATCACAACTTGCTCCGCCATGGCCACCGTGACGCCCACCATATGGTCTAGGCAAGCCACTTGGATGTCCATCTCGACTGCCACCATTTCGGCCTGTAAAACCAAACATAAAAAGAAAAAGAAAGTCATAAAGAAAGTGTTTTTGATCAAGGAAGTAAGGAATTCTATATGGTGCACTACACTACATTAAGGAAAGAAATACAAATAATTTCTTTTAACCTGAAAAGTAGGAAATATAACAGTTATCAAATGAAAACAAAACCTCAGCTAAACAAAGACGAATATGAAACTTCAGTAAGGGGCAATCTATATTCCAAGAGCAGGGCCAATGACCTCTTCAATGGGATATGGTATATGCAGAAAATGAGCAACTATTTGTTAACCAATAGGAGACTATACTGCTCTAATTTTTCTTTTGTGCTGCCATTCTACTCTAAAAATGCTTAAGCCTAAACAGGCTAGAAGACGTTGCAAACTAAATAAGATACTTCCTTTAATTTGCACTCAATTGAATTGCAAGAAAACAAACAGTTGAAAATCCATGCTGCAGTTTACCTGTTTGTGAACTCGGTGTAGATAATAGATCCCTGTCAAAAGACTGGCCTCTCCAACCACCCTCATTGGTTGAACCACCCCAACCACTGCCCAGATATTCCCCTGAAGAACCCCCCAGTTGCTGGGCTTCGCATTGGCACCATAGCAGCAACTGATCTAAGGGATGGTCCTGACTCAAGCCGAGGGTCATCAATATGGCGCTGGAAATATGCTACAAGCCGATCGATGTCCTCAAACATTCTTTTTTTGAACTTGAACCCCTTGGGATAAACACCAACATACTCATGGTGCGGATTTGCACTCCGGATATAGGTCAGGATGATAGTGCCTGGATGTTCATGCGATATCCCGAAACAATAAGCTATCCTCATAGGATACTCCAATTTCTCAAGCCACAAAAGCTCATCAACTTCTGCTTTTGTTCCCCTCCTGAACTTGCGATAGTTTAGCATTGCCTTCAAGTGAGCCACCTGCGGATCAACGTAACGATCCATCACCTGCATTGAAGTTAGTTTACCATCAGATTTCTATCCCTCGATATCAAGAGCACAAATGCATATTATTAGCATCTAAGTACAAGCATCTGATATGAAACATAAAACCTCAAGAACTAAATTTGCGCATTCTTATTCAGACTGCATATTATTAGCATCTAAGTACAACACAAGCATCTGATACCATTTGGTTTTGTCATGGATATTGTAACGATCCACAATTCAGGCAAAATGAAATTCTATATAGGCCAATTTCATTGGTTAAAGTTCAGTTAAGAGAATCAAGATTTACAACTGATTATCCTTCATTAGCTGTAAATTGACAGAAAGAAAAGTAAGACGACTAATGCAGTACAACTCTCTGAGAACACACATTGTGTTAAAAATACTAACCTCATCCAAATCCTCAAAAGTGTCCTCCCCAATCGTCAGGGTCTTCCCAATACGGAGTAAGCTTGTAACGTCCTTAGGCTCCTTTCCACCTTCAACTATGTCTTTGTGAGCGTAAACTCCATCATAAACCTTGAGAGTTAAGGCTAAATGTGAAGGCCCTCGAGAACTAGGACGAAAAATACTTTCCCCAGCATCCTTAACAGACAATAACTGTTAAACATAACAGATGACACACTATTGCATAAGAAAAGTATTTCCGGACTACTATTAAGTATTGAATTACAAAACAAAGATCAAGACATTAAAATCTTAATATAACAACATTATTGAAAGCATACCTCCATTGCTTCATCTGCATATATATTCTGGAAGCGAGGATGAACAATCATCCTTGGCTTGAAATTCTTCTTCGCAAGCTGCTTTCCCTTTTGAGATTTTTCTTGCTCACTCTGTAGACTTCTCCAGTCTTTATGGTAATAAGTATCAAGATTCTGAATGTTCTCAGAGCAGTCATTTCTAATCTCACTCTCACTGCAAACAAGTAATACCCGATACCAATTCTTTTGAACAGATTTGATCTTGCAAGTGAGAATATCACCCACATGCAGTCTGTCAGATAAGTCAGAGACATCCCTCCAATCACCTGGATGCTCTTTTTCGGAGAGGATCAACTTAGAGATAGGGGATTGTCTTTAGCAAGAGAAGGGCCTGGGCATTCAGTAGAGGGCTAGCCTGCAGAAGACAAAGATGGGAGAAGCAGTCGTTAAGCTTCGGACACCGGTGTGGTGCCGGCCGAAGGCTCTCCGATGCTTGAGTCAGCTAGGGGTAGTGACTATTGCAAAGTAACAGAAATGGTGAGAGAGAAGTTACCCTTTTTCTTGGTTACTGTTCCTATTTATAGGGAAGTAAAAGTAGGAGGTTTGCACAAAGTTCCGATGTGGGACTTTGTGCAAGTTGCTGTGATGATGACACGTGTCTCCTGTGTTTAAGGTTTGGCAGTTCGGAGCTTCGGCAGGTGGTTGTCCCTTCGGAAGAGTATCTCCCTTTGGCAGGGAGGAAGGCACG